GATCAATAATGCCGGGTCTTTCATTCAACATGTTCTTGTTGGTCTTGAGGATGCAACTTTTGTACTATTTGCAGTTTATAAAGATGAAGTTTTAACTCAAGCATCAATCTTCGCAAACTTCTTGTGGAATTTGTAACGCATTTGACTGCCTTCGAATTGATAATCGTAGAGCCTCTCAAGATTTTATGCAGTACGTGCACTTCTCGGTCTACCATGTTTTATATCAAAAGAACTGCCAGTTGTGGCAAATTTATTGACCCATGTCAATATTGTTTTGCGAGTAGGAATTCGGGTGCGTCTTGTAATCTAAAACCAAATCCGAAAACGCTGTGTCTGAATTAGGGGTGTCAATTCCGAGCCATTTTTTAATCCCGGGATTTTTTGGGACCAAAGTAACTAATCCCGAGATCCCAGGATTAGTCCTGAAAAAATATAAATCTTTAATTTTAAAACCAATTTAAAATAAACGAACAAACTAACAAACATATAAATCTTAACAGTTTTACCAAATATAATTTAAAATAAAGAAACAAACAACATATTTCGGACTTCAAGAATTTGTAGGGGTAAACGTGGGTACAATCTACAACGTGTAGATTGTACCCACTAGGGTGGTCCTTAATTTTTTTTTTTGGCTTCTATGTTAAAAAAAAAATTCTGACTAATTTTAAATTCTTAATACTAATATTAAGGGGTACCACCAAGCATGTTTTAGAAATATTTAGGCTAGTGGAGTGCTGGACAAAGAGGGGAAACATTTTGGTTTTTCGCGGACATTGAACATTGACCCATAACTAGGTACAATCCGGAATCCTCCTCAACCAGGACTTTAGTAATAACCCCATTCAATTTGGGTTCATTAATAGGGGTAGGTGGGTTAATACGCTGCTAGTACCTATCCTTCTTGGTGTACTTCCTGTTCGTATGTGTCTGTGTTCCTGTGTCCTGTTCGTGAGTGGTCATTTAAGTACGCCTCTGTTTTATGTCCGATGACGTATGGTCTGAATGTCTCTATGTTTATTTGGAGGTGATAGTTCAGTCTTTGTCTTAGTGCGGTCGTCTGTGCAATTTCTATTGATGATCTGTTCGGCCTATTGTCTAGTTGGTGGCCTAAATATACCGTCATGTTTTTTTTTTCGTTGTCTATAATGTTAATTTATTTATAAAAATCGCATTTTTAATAGGTATAAAATTCATTGTGATGCATTTATTCATTATTTCTTGCATGTACTTATTATTAATGTAATTTTGCTATTACGTTTTATTTTAATCGTCGGGTGGTACTTTAATTATACCTGCTGAGTGGTCTAGTGTTAACGATTTCCATGTTTGGTATGGTTTGGCTTTATTGAGATTTATGAGGGCGGGGTGGCGCGCCATGGCGTTTATTTATGGTTTTGTCAAGTGTTTGTTTGGGTAATGATCTTATTTTTTTGTCTGCCCTTTTGTGGTCTATAATGTTGATTTATGAGCTTGTTGGGTTGCTAATTTATGAGTTTGTTGCTTTGTTATTGGAAACTGATGGCGACTGTTTGTTTACCTGTTACCATATGGAATTCTTGGTAATTTGCGATTGCGAAGTTTAAGTTTGGATTTAGGATTTAAATTTTATAATAATTATTTAGGTATTATTATTAGGTCATGCAATTAGATAAATTACTTATACGAATTAAGTAGACTCGAATCGGACGTTACGTTGTTCCTTGACCTCGACCGCTCGCTATTGGCACGCGTTGAATGTAACCCAGGTAAGATTATCGTTGTGTCCTATCCTTACTCGCACCCTTTTACGCCAGTATCGCACTATGGGACTTAAACCGGGGGCCACACGCACTTTTCACTCATATTTTATTTTTATTTATTTATTATTTTATTTTTATGATTTCTTTTTTGAACTTGTATCCGGTAAATTATAATTATCAATGGATTCGTTGTTTTGGAGTTGATATTGTATCACTGTTGTGGTACGGACGCGTTCGTTAGACGAACTTTGACACAACCTCTTACCACGAGGTGCAGAACGAGACTGTGTCCCCTTAATATTAATATTAAGAATTAAAAATTTGTCACAATTATTTTTTTAAACATTGAAGACATTACACCACATGGAAGTCAACATTTCAAAAATACCACAATTAAGGATCACCCATGTTTACCGCCATTAACAGTTAATTTTATTTCTTACATTAATCGGGCCTTGGTAAGTTCCAATTGAGGCTGTAAAACTTCCCTCTGCTCGTTTAATCTCCGCGAAGGAAACCTCTTCGTCATCGCTATTTTCTATTTTATCTAAGATGTTTTTTCAATTGATGTTTAATTTTTGCAAACAGTCTAATTTTTAACGGTGTTACTATAAGCTACTTGTAAAACAAAAGAAACGAATATTTATAAACATTATATTTTAGGGCTAAATTGCCAACAATATATTTTATCACCTAGTGTTCGGTGCATTATTCGGTAAATAATAAAATAATTTAGAATTAACAATAATTGTAAATTAATAAGTAATAAATTAATTATTAATGCCATTAAAAAGTATGTTTTAATCTTTGTAATTTATTAAAAAGATCCCGGGAGTGGGACTTTTTATCTCGGGATTTTCGGGATCGTTTTTTTCGGGATCCCGGGATTGACACCCCTAGTCTGTCGTTTTACCACATTTAAAAAAAAAGTAATACCATATTAACCCACTTTTCCAAATAATCCAAAATACTTATTTATTTTGGTCAAAATAGATTTTTCTAACCTTAAAATTAAAATACTTTTTGTTATAATATATTAACCTACCTTTGACACAGATATTCTTATTGCATAATAGAGAAACTAGATTTTTTTAAATAAATGCTGCTTAGTTAACCCTTAACTAGTCGCGTAGGTGCACTGAGTGCTCCGTTTTTATTAAAACCTCTATAACTTTTTGTCGTTTTCTTGGAATTAAATGCCCATTCCATGTAACATATGACTGATGTGTCTACCATGCACTGTCGACGGCATATTCAGTTTAAACTACTAATTTCAAAGTTATGGACAGAAAACTTGAGATTGATTTAGAAATACTTCACTAAAACGTAACTAAATTTCAATTTTTGCAATGTAAAATATTTCTAAATCAACAAAATATGGAATTTAAAACCTAATGGTTTTTAAGGTATACATTTTTCTAAGAATACACAAATAAAAATAGAACGGCTAAATTTCATTCTGATTTCTTCTTTTCTGAGTAGAAGTAATAACTTTTTTGTTTGTTTTATTTTTTGTTATTTGCTTTTTGTTTCTTTTTAAAATAAATATTGTGTTTTAATAAAAATAGAGTTAATTCATCCGAATATAAGCAAAAGTAATATTAAAATTGAAAACATTCAGCAATATAGCCATTTTAAGGAGCGGAGCACTTAGTGCACCGCGCGACCACTTATGTTACAAAAATTGGCGCGAGTAGTTAAGGGTTAAAACTATTTTATGGAGAAAATCATATATGTATACCAAATGGACAAAAATATTACTTATTTGGCACCATACACTTTAGAATTTCATTAAATGCAGTATTTATATCCCTAAATTCCATACTATAAAGATTTATACATTTTTAAGGCTTAAACATATGCGGTTAACATACATAAATATTATTTCTTTCGTTGACTGATACATAACATGAAAAACCTTAAATGCCAAATTTTCAAAAGACTGCGTTCCGTACGTAGTCACGTGGTGGGACTTTGAGGTGTACCTACACTATTTTTCATGACAAGCGCAACGGAAATGGAATTTTGCTGCCTTTTGAGAGATGACGAGAAAAAATATAATATTACGCGTTTTTATACATTATTTAGCAAAACATAGTGAAGTTAACGCATATACAAAAATTCAGTCGAACCAACTAAAGATAATTAAAGAAATTAAATTTCGCGTTTACATCTGTTTTTTTTTCGGATGTAGATGTAAAAGTTGAGTCGTCTGCTTTCCCCAGAAATCCGCATCTCTCATGCGTCAATGTGTCAATGTGTCATGAAAAATATTAAACAACATCTGGTATGCAATACTTACTTTTGCTTACAAAGGGAGCAGGGTGATAAATATTACCCTAGATAAATAATATTTATAGTTCGAATTTTTTTTCATATGTTTTATTAAAAATAAATGAGTGACAAATTAAAACAAAACTCTTAATTTTTTGATTTTATTAAAACGCTATCTAGCTACTTTAAATTTCAAATTAATTTAGTTTTTATATAATTTAACAAAATTATTTTAATTTTGATATTTAAAAACAGTTTTGAAAACAAATCTCACGTCTTATCATTTGTGGGTGAAGCGTTCACGATTTTCTAAGTTCACGTATACATGATTTCCCCAGAATTCCGAATCTCTCAAAAGGCAGCAAAAGTTCGCTGCTTGTGTCATGAAAAATATTAAACAACATCTGGTATGCAATGAAGATAGATTTTAAAAATAGGTTTTATACAACTATGAACTATTAGAACACTAGATAAATTTGGGTTAAGCACCCTAAATTTAATAAGAAAACATTTTATTATTATCAAAAAACTTTACTTAGGGGTTCAAGTGGGTGTTCAATTTTTTCTTACTTTTGCTTACAAAGGGAGCAGGGTGATAAATATTACCCTAGATAAATAATATTTATAGTTCGAATTTCTTTTAATATGTTTTATTAAAAATAAATGAGTGACAAATCAAAACAAAACTCTTAATTTTTTCATTTTATTAAAACGCTATCTAGCTACTTTAAATTTCAAAATAATTTAGTTTTTATATAATTTAACAAAATTATTTTAATTTTGATATTTAAAAACAGTTTTGAAAACAAATCTCACGTCTTATCATTTGTGGGTGAAGCGTTCACGATTTTCTAAGTTCACGTATACATTTTCGCTTATCATTGAAAGTTTGGTTACTCTATTAATAATTATTTTTTAAACCCTAAAATAAATAGTTAAATTGGCAAAAAGCTTACATTAACAATTTATATTTATTATTTTTAGACTGGCAAAAAAATGAACTCTGTTAAAGAACACGACAGTCTCATCAACGATATGCAATGGAATAAAGATGCAACAATGTTTATAACTGCCTCTAAGGATCACACCGCGAAACTGTTCGACGCCGAAAGCTTAGCGCTACTTAAAACTTACAAAACAGAGAGGCCTGTAAACTCAGCGGCTATCAGCCCTATTGCAGAACATGTGGTTGTTGGTGGTGGTCAAGATGCTATGGACGTAACCACCACTTCTGCCAGAGTTGGTAAATTCGACTCCAGATTTTTCCACATGGTGTTTGAAGAAGAGTTTGGCAGGGTTAAGGGTCATTTTGGACCTATCAACAGTGTGGCATTTCATCCAGATGGTAAAAGTTATAGTTCTGGAGGTGAGGATGGATATGTAAGAGTGCATAACTTTGATTCTTCTTACTTTGAATACAACTTGGATTACTAAGCAAGCAAACACCGTATTAAAATTAAATTTATAAAATTCGTACTTTTTTGTTTTTTTTTCCTTTCAAACTTTATGGTAAGGTACTATAATCTTTATTTTATTTTTAATTTAGTGATATTTTTCTCATATTATTTTATAAAATACAGGGTCCAAAAGAACCTTTAATAATTTGAATTAATATTATTTTTTTCAATAAACTTATATGGAAAACTTAACAGTTTCAGAAATTCAAGGTGTTTAGGTTGCATATATTTTTTTGGAAAACATTACTTTCTTTTAAAATAAAGAACATTTTTTAGTATTGTTTTTTTATTAGATACCATAGTTGGGCATTACATTTTTTTTCATACTACAAGGTGGCATCAATATGGGGGTGATAATATTTCTTTTTCTTAGAGAAAAAAGGTACACCAATGATCTAAAAAAATCCACATTTTTAAAACAAACAGTCTAGTTTTTCTGAAACTAGAGTTTTCGTTATAATTATTTGTTGAATACAGGGCAGTTAATTAAACAAATTACCAATAGCACAATAGACTTTATTGGAGTAAAGCACAAATAAGACTGAGAGAGTATTATTATATATTTAACTTATTCCTAAGAATGGGATACCCCGTATTTCCTAAGTCTTCGGATTTTTGGGTATTTCCGTAATAAATAAATTTAAGCATGCATATATGTTATGTTATGCAACCCATTATACTTTGATTTCGGTTGTTCTTCTAACACTCCCACTCGAAATAAAAGTTTAATTTATATTAACAACAGGATTAAGAATAATTTATAATATAGTATTATACTAACATATTATTAAGAAAAATGTTTTCTATATGTATATAAATTTTTTTTATATACAGTGTGTCCGGGAAAAGGAGGTCAATCCGTTAACCATATATTCTTTGAGTTAAAACAATAAGACTTTCATAATACCATTTTTCAATTTAGAGCTTCATGTTCGATATACAGGGCGACAAAGTTTGAAATTTAAAACTGATTTTTTTTAATAATTCGAGTAATTGATAAGATATTAAGTTCAAATTCGGTACACTACTTCAACATAAATAGTTACAATTTTTGAGGCCAACAAAATAAAAAACAATTGTCAAATAATCAAAATAGGGGGGTCTAGTACTCACTGCCCTAGTAGAAATTTTACGTAGAAACAACGTTTTTCCCACGTTGGCAAAACCTAACTTTTATGTATAATTTTATGTTGAAATGTCCCGGTTTATAACGTTATCTGACAACGTTAGTTTTTAATGTTATAAAAAACGTGGGATTTACGTATTATAAAACGTTGCAAATACGTGGGTTTTGTGTATTATACAACGTTGCTTTTATGTATTATAAAACGTTGCAAATACGTGGGATTTGTGTATTATACAACGTGGGAAATATGTGGGTTTTGTGTATTATAAAACGTTGGAAATACGTGGGATTATTGTATCATAAAACGTTGGATTTTTTTATAAATTTGGGTAGGATTTTTCTTTATTATTGGAAAATTTAATATATATTTAAAAACAACAAAAATTTATTGTACAAAAAAAATACTTTGGAAAAAAAATTCCCAATTAACAAAATCTAAAAAATATTATCTAATAATATTATACTTAAAGTAAACAAATTAAATTATAACAAAATAGCTTTAACAAAAAATTTACAATGGTATTTTAAAAAGAAAAAATATTGCCTATATATATAACAATTTTCTATACAAGATACTACAACTTTTAAATCAATATTAAAATTAATTAAAAATACCCAATTAACAAAATCTAAAAAATATTATTAATATAATATTATATACTTAAAGTAAACAAATAAAAATATAACAAAATAGTTTAGACAAAAAATTTTCAATGGTATTTTGAAAAGAAAAACTATTGCCTATATTCATATAGGTATTAACAATTTTCTAGATACAAGATACTACAACTTTTAAATCAATATTAATAAAAATCTAAAAAATCCTATTTAAGTAGGTATTAACTAGAAAAATTCAAATATAAGTAACATAACTTAAAACATGGCCTAAAAACAATAACAATGCTGGTATTTTAAAGAGAAGAAATATTGCCTATTAACAATTATTACAAATTTTCTAAATAAAGGATTAAACAAATTATAAATTAGCAACAAAAATAAAAAGTCAAAGAAATTTAAGTAGTTACCTAGTTAAAATATAAGTCTAAATAAAACAATTAACAATGAAGGTGAGTTTAAAGTCACAAATTTTTAATTTTCATTAAGGGTTTTGATGCTTGGCAAAATAAATTTTAGCAATTACGAATATATAAGAAAAAATGTGAGGATTTTTGCTTTTGAATAAAAATTTAGAGCACAAGCATTAAAAGGAAAAAATACAAGCAAAAATAGCATTTTTGCCTATATTTTTTTATACACTTGAAAGTTTTAAAATTGATTTTGTATAGTATACAAATTTATTTATTAAATGCAAAAGATTGTGACCTAAAATTGATTTACATTAAGAACCTTTGATTGTTAAAAAAAATCTAATAGATTTGGCTGGTAACCAACACACAATGGTAAATGATCTCCTCCAGTGTCAGCAAACATTAGAAAAGTTGAAAAATAGTTTAATATTCTGAGTTTCCTTTTTTCACAACATTTTGTTGTTTCCCTGGGTAACCAGGTGCTGGCAAAGCATCCCTTATTTCCTTTACTTCTGAAAAAATATTGGTTTATCACATCATCATGAACTTCTGATCTGGATCTTTTTAGATTTTTAGCATTCCTTTGAGTAATCACAATTTTTGCCTCCGGAAAGAATTTAGCCAGTCATTGCCAGGAAGGTTTTCTTTAAAACAACTAATTATCACTGCTTTGTGGTTTAGATATGACTGCACTCTTTTGTATCTTGTCTTGCAAAAGATTATCCATTATCCGCAGATCATCTGTGGCAGATGTAATCATTACACTTGCAATCTACCCAAAGGATAGACGATTGTTTATCACCTCTGCCACGGCCAATTCAATATTTTCTGGGTGATAATTTCTTTGATACACTGTTCCAGGAACATGTTTATGCTTTTAAGGCATCGTCACAGAACAAAACTTATTTTACATAAGGCATCGTCCAAATAACCCTAAAAATCCATGCAAAAAGCAACTGTTTAAAAAAAACACTAACAAATTGTTTGTGGTGATTGTTTAGGTTACTAAAAGTTATTTGCCATCCCTATCAGATAAAAATTACCTTATCTTTTAATTATTTTTCCAAAAAACACGGAAGAATTTGCACAAAATTTCGCACGATGTCAACACTTAACCTAAAATAAAGAAATAAACACTTCGTGATAGAGCGGTAAATTTGAATTTTTCTTCGTTTGTTCCGTGTAACCCATAGAAATAATACCACAGAATTTTGTGATAATACTATGGTGTAACCTCTGTTGTTCCATCACCTAACTACGATAGTAAACCTTTATTGAAACTATAATAATTTTAGGTATCTAAAATTTACTACTTAAGTAGGTTTTGTGTATTTCGGCCTTATTTTTAAAACTATGACTTTAAAAATTGTATTGCATAGTTAAAATTTAATTTGATTTTATAACTAATGTTACAAAGACTAAAAATTTTAAAAAAATCCACATTAAAAATTTTCTCGACGGGACTTAAAATAATTTTATGTTGCTAAATGTGTGTTTTGGAACGTTGTTGCAACGTTTCTAGCATACAATTCTGCAACGTTGTTTGAAAGTGGGTTTTGTGTATTTCGCTCATATTTTTGATATTATGACTTTGAAAATGTGTTGAAGGGTTTTATTTTACTTTTATAAGAAATGTATAATAAAAAAAATTGAAAAAAAAATCCTCAGTAAAAAAATTTTCGTCGGGACTTTGAAAAAATTTTATGTAGCCAAACGTGGGTTTTGGAACGTTGTTGCAACGTTTCCAGCAATACAATTCTGCAACGTTGTTTGAAAGTGGGTTTTGTGTATTTCGCTCATATTTTTGATATTATGACTTTGAAAATGTGTTGAAGGGTTTTATTTTACTTTTATAAGTAATGTATAATAAAAAAAATTTGAAAAAAAAATCCTCAGTAAAAAAATTTTCGTCGGGACTTTGAAAAAATTTTATGTAGCCAAACGTGGGTTTTGGAACGTTGTTGCAACGTTTCCAGCAATACAATTCTGCAACGTTGTTTCAAAGTGGGTTTTGTGTATTTCGGTCATATTTTTGATAATATGACTTTAAAAATGTGTTGAAGGGTTTTATTTTACTTTTATAAGTAATGTATAATAAAAAAAAATTAAAAAAAATCCTCAGTAAAAAAATTTTCGTCGGGACTTTGAAAAAATTTTATGTAGCCAAACGTGGGTTTTGGAACGTTGTTGCAACGTTTCCAGCAATACAATTCTGCAACGTTGTTTCAAAGTGGGTTTTGTGTATTTCGGTCATATTTTTGATAATATGACTTTAAAAATGTGTTGAAGGGTTTTATTTTACTTTTATAAGTAATGTATAATAAAAAAAAATTAAAAAAAATCCTCAGTAAAAAAATTTTCGTCGGGACTTTGAAAAAATTTTATGTAGCCAAACGTGGGTTTTGGAACGTTGTTGCAACGTTTCCAGCAATACAATTCTGCAACGTTGTTTGAAAGTGGGTTTTGTGTATTTCGCTCATATTTTTGATATTATGACTTTGAAAATGTGTTGAAGGGTTTTATTTTACTTTTATAAGTACCTAATGTATAATAAAAAAAAATTGAAAAAAAAATCCTCAGTAAAAAAATTTTCGTCGGGACTTTGAAAAAATTGTATGTAGCCAAACGTGGGTTTTGGAACGTTGTTGCAACGTTTCCAGCAATACAATTCTGCAACGTTGTTTGAAAGTGGGTTTTGTGTATTTCGCTCATATTTTTGATATTATGACTTTGAAAATGAATTGAAGAGTTTTATTTTACTTTTATAAATAATGTATAATAAAGTAAAAAAATTAAAAAAAAAATCCTCATTGAAAAATTTTCGTCGGGACTTAGAAATAATTTTATGTATCTAAACGTGGGATT